GTGCCCGAGTCTACGCGCCCGCGCTCGTTTCATTCATTGGGGAGTCGCCCTTCGGGGAACGCGGCAGCTCGGCGAAGCCATCCCGAGCTGGCGCAGGCCCGGCTCACACCCGGCGAGCCTCTTCGTTTCAGCTCGCGGCCTTCGCACCGCGCTACGTCCCCGGCCCCGCTCCGAAACTACGCAGAGCGCTGCTCGGCAGAGGGCAGCCGGCCTCCGCCCGGGAGGCCGTCACCGCCGGTCACTCGAGACTGGGCTTCGCGCTTCGGCGGAGGACTCTGGGGACACAGGTCAGCCCACAGCAAGGACACAAGGGACACGGACCAGGCCGGCCGGGAGGGACCACCCTTGGGTGAACCGGGGGCAGACCTGCTCCCTCCTACTTCACCGCTGTGAGGTTTGTTCATAAGTTAAGTCACAATAATTTGATGCATGTAGGTTGAACAAAAATTCTCAATTTTGGCCGGGTATGGTGGCACACGCCTGTACTCCCAGCACTTGGGAGGCTGAGGCAGGAGGATCACCACGAGTTCGAAGCCAGATTGGGCTACATAGTGAGTTCAAGGCCAGCATGACCTACATAGTGAGACCCTGTCTTAAAAACAGAATTCTCTATTTTGACCATGGCCTAAAATTTAGACGGGAAAAAGCTATACAGAACGTGTCTGAGATTGAACTTAATATGAAGGAAATAAAGTTGAGGGAGGATTTTTTTAAAGGAGGAGGTAGCCCTGGACACAGCGTTGGAGACCCCGTGCCAAGCAGTCCCTGAAACCAGCACATCGGGGACCTGTGTAAGCCAGTCGATTTCCGTTTTAGATTCCTCACCTAGAAAGAAGCAGCCCCGATGCACTGCTACAAGTGTGAGCATAGACAACAGATCACAGACCATGAGATGAGCTGCCTCTAAACGCTCCCAAGGGAATGGGGCTTCAGCCTGTGCTCACCGTGGGGACCAGTGACTGCAAGGTGTCTCGCATGGGAGGCACACACGTATTTGTAAAAGAAAATAATGGTGTGAATCCTTCTATTTCTTGTCTGTGCAACTTCACAGTTATGCTTTTCCAACCCCGAGTTTTTCCCTCTGTGCAGTGGTGGTAATAAAGCTTTCACGCTGAAAAGCTGTGAATTTCCCATTTTACATACTCTGTCTTCCAGAGACTGCGGTGTGCCTAACTAATCATAAACAGAAGATACATATCATGAGCATTTAACAAATGTTTAACGTCGGGCAGGGGATATAGCTCAGCGGCACAAGTGCCTGCCTGGCAACCACAAGGTCGTGAGTTTGATTCCCAGTACCACAAAAAAAAAAAAGTTTAATGTCTATTATTCTCAGAAATGACACACAATTTTTAAAACAGCAAAACCAGGGCTGGGCATATAGCTCAGCAGCACAGTGCCTGCCTGACAAGGGCAAAGTCCTAAGTACAATTCTCGGTACCAAAAATAAAAAATAAAAAAAAAAACCAGCCAAGCCACATGTGATAAAGTGTATTATAAACTGAGAAAATGGATTGGAAAAGCCAGGCTCGGTGGCATACACCTGTAATCCCAGCATTCAGGAGGCTGAAGCAGGAGGGTCATTGTGAATTTGAGACCAGCCTGGGCTACAAAGTGAGCTTGAGGCCAGCCTGAACTGCATAGCGAGACCCTGTCTCAAAAAGACACACACAAAAAAGAAAAATCAAATCCTAACAAACAGATGTGCACAGTGTGGCCTCGATAAACCACACTAAGAAAAAGGCTCTCGCATCTACCTGCCCATAGCCGCATACCCTCCAAGGATGGAGGTAGTGACGAGTGGATGTTTGGTTGGATGAGCAGGTTACTGAATAAAACATTGGCTGTGAAGTGTACCTGGGAAACAACTATTCCCTTAGCAGGTAGGGGCTTGATCCAGGCACCCACACAGGGCCTGAGAAGCAGCTTCCAGGGACTGAGCTCCTGGCCAGATTTAAGTCCCTTGAGAAGGAAAGGTGCAGCACTTCCAGGGAGCTGCCTTCTCACCCCGAAATTTCACTCTGATTGGGACCACTCTGGCCCTTTACCTAGCAATGAGCAAATCACCGATCCTAATAAGGGAGGATGGGGTCACATGACCACCCTTGGACAGGAAATTCCTCAAGTAAACCTCTGGGATTAAAATTAAGGGTGTGTACCCACCACTCCTCCCTTTTGCTCTTGTTGCTTTGCTGTTCCGCCACCATGAACAGTTGCCCTCTGCCATGTGCCGCTCGGCCTCCGAGCCAGCTGAGTATGGACTGCAACCTCCACAAGCTGGAAAGGAAGCGTTTAATAGAGGAGTCTGACCGAGGCTGAAGCCAAGAGCCTTCCCCAGGGAAACTGCAAGGCAGGATTTTGTTTGTTTTCTGTAAAAGAGAGAATGAAGGCTGGGTGTGCGGCAGTATGGTGCCAGGAAAATAAACTGCTGGGACACCTGGGAGAATCAGGCACATCATCTCCCTCAGTGCCCTGAGCTTTGCTGCGATTCGCTTGAGAAGTCCATCAAGCTACTGATGAAGACCCTAACTCAAGGTCATAGCCCAAGTCCGTGTCCATGGGTTGTCAGAAATTCCTCGTAAGAGCTCAGCTGTCTTGCACCTGTCAGTCAGGGGATCAGCCTAACCAGGGAGATGAAAAACGCTTACAGTGAAAATTACAGAACACTGAAGAAAGAAACTGAAAAAGACACCAGAAGAAGGAAAATCCTGTGTTCATGGAGCAGCAG